ATATTTATTAAAGACCCAGGTTTGTGTGTGTGTGTGTGTGTGTGTGTGTGTGTGTGCGTGTGTGTGTGTCTGTGTCTGTCTGTCTGTACGTTTATATATTGGATCGGATTTCCTACATTTTTCAACCGATTTCAACAAAACTACAGAGGACTACGTAAAATTACATTGCGGTGGTTCTGACAGCACCAAAAATTGGAAAAAACACAAACGTTTTTGCACGAAATCAATTTGAAAACACGATTAAGAGTCATCGCGAGAATGAAAGGGGGACAACTCATATCGAGTTATACTTATTATAAGACCCAGGTTTGTGTGTGTGTGTGTGTGTGTGTGTGTGTGTGTGTGTGTGTGTGTGTGTGTGTGTTCGTTTATATATGGGATCGGATTTCCTACATTTTTCAACCGATTTAAAAAAATTTCATTTTTCACTTTTTTTTTTGCAGGTAGTGTTTCTTGTCTTGCACACTTTTTTCTTTACTTTTAAATACAGAATGCTTTAAAAATTCCATTTACAAGACAACTGTTTAGAATAAAATTCTATTCAATCGGTAGACTCATAACGAATGAAAACAATGTTTTTGTTTGAGTTTGGGTTTGACCAATTCGTAAAAGAAAAAAAAAATCTAATTAAGACATGCGTGTCCGTCAACCTTAAACAATAATCTTTGTAAATTTTATTTTTCAGTCTTTATGATGATCGATACTTGATCTATCTCTTACTGTTACATCCCCGGGCATCGCCGGGCTCTACTGCTAGTGTACGATAAACAAACCCTCATTTCTTTTTCAATTGAGTGTAGTCTTTCTCGCTTCTTATTTTTTTTATGTTATTTAGGATTGAGAAGCCTAATTCAAATAAATAAAAAGTAGAAAATTGCAATTAAAACGGATGAAGTCTTTTGAGCTAATGTGTGATAAAAAATACACACACAAATATAAATTATAAATTAATTCAGTTATTTCCAGGAAAAGAATGTTTTAAGTTGTGTCATTGTGTTTCAAGCAAATAACATAAAGCAGTGTTATTTTATTTATTTTATAAAGCAGTGATTTATTTTAATTGTGTTTCTGTTATAAAAAAAAAATCCTTTTTTTCCTACGGTTGTGCTGAAATATGTGCTAATTTAGGTTTGCACTAAATAGTAAAATAGTGTTATTTCATAAAGGATATTGATTCTAGAGGATGACCGCCAACATTAGCCTTGAAATAGATACCCTACCCAACCTGAGCAAAACCTCTCAGAAGATGATGAATCTATAGATGACTCGCCTAGCCACTCCGACAATAACGAATGTTATAACGAACCATGCTTAAAAACACACGTAAACCAAGAGATAGCTTATTCCTAAATTTTCGCTTGAAGATGAAACAGGACTAAACACCTTAATTCAACTTAATTCTAATAATTATTTGGATGGTTTCGGCTCCCGTTTTTGAAACATGAGAACTCTTATGTAGCGAAGGAATCATATTTTGAAACAAAAAAAATTATATATATATATATATATATATATTAAAATAATTTTCTTTTTAAAAATATGATTCTATCGCGACACAGAAAATGTACATGTTTCAAAACTGAAACTAAATTTATTTATAAAAATTAAACTTAAAATCCATAGTCTTATTCCATTGCCAAGTGATGTTAGGAATATTTTTTAGAAAGTTATTCCTAGCATCGCTTGACAATGGAACGAGACTATGGATTTCAAGTTTTAATTTTTATAATTAAATTTATAAATTTAGTTTCAATTTTGAAACATGGAAATTTTCCATGTCGCAATGGAATCATATTTTTAAAAAGAAAATAATTATAATATATATATAGATATGTGTATGTATGTATGTATGTATGTAGTTGTGTGTGTATCGTGACAGCATTTCGCGGCACATTTGAGAGGATCTCACGGCAGACTAGTGTTCAGCGTCATGGCGATTGAGAATCACTGATCTATAGATCAAGGACAACATATCACGAATTTATTAGACAAATTGATTTACTTCTATAAAACTTAATAGCTGAGATCCAGTTTGCTATAGGGATTCATTATAAATGGATCCCTTTCTTCTACGTGGCGTGTTCATTCAGGAGGTTGGTGAACATGGCTCTTCACAACTTCCTATCACTTGTAGCCCTTAGCGACATTTACCCTTTGCCAATTACCCTTTACCTCCAAACCCCTATTCCTAAATTCATTTACAGAAAATCCTCATGTATGTGGTCAGCTGCTTTCGCCTGTTCCCTTGCCCTCGATATGTCTGTGAGTGTCGTTATTTCTAATGGCTTGGGAATTGCCCACGTTAAAAAGGCCTTGTGCCACATGACACCCTCGTGGGGGGGGGTGACTGAATATCGTCATTATTTCTAAGCCCTCTTCCCTTATTATGTGTCGAAGAAATCTCAGTTGTTTCATCCTGAATCTGAGTATAAGAGTCTTATTTGAATCAACATTCAGAGGCAACATCTACATATACAGGAATAAGCAAAGATAAATTTTATTATCTTAAACATAAATGAATAAATTTGATTAATTTAAAATGTAAATGAGAATTAGTAATGCTGGGGGGGGGTAAGCAAAAACATTGTTATGATCTGAGAAGAAAATGATTTTCTTTTATTAACATATAAACAAAAATTAAAAGTATAAGATGCGATGCTGTAAGCAGAGGAGTCTGTTTGAACCTTTGGACGAAAATTAACTTTTATTAATTTAACATTTAAAAAAAAATTAGAAAAATAATAAATGCATCATATTAACTCGATTTTTCCTAGGCTTTGTCTAAACTTTGAGGTCACATTCGATATAAAATTTCTTTCTTTCTTTCTTTTTATGTGTCATGTCCTTTCAGGACATAGGCGATCATGGCTCTCCACCTCTTTCTATCCCTTGCAGCACTCAACAAGTTCCTTTCCTCTGCTTCCTCCCCTAGACCACGTTCTGTCATCCACTTGCTTAAGTCTGCCATGCACTACTTTCCCTTGTCTCTTTTTCCCTTATTCGACCTGTGAGTATCAGATTCTCTAGGCCCTCTTTCACTCAAGTTAATTTTTTAAAAAAATAAACAAATATAATCAGTAATTTCTTTCTTTCCTTTTATGTGCCATGTCCTTTCAGGACGTAAGCATTCATGGCTCTCCACCTCCTCCTATCCGTTGCAGATCTCAACAAGTTCCTTCCCTCTGCCACCCCCCAGACCACGTTCTGTCATCCACTTGCTTAAGGCCGCTAGGTATGTCACGCGTTGCTTTCCCTTGTCTCGCTTTCCCTCTATTCGACACGTGAGTATCAGATTCTCCAGGCCCTTCTTCCTCATTATGTGTCCCAGAAACTTCAGTTGCCTCTTCCTGATGTTAAGTATTGATTTTTTAAGCATTGCTTAGATGTGGCACAAGGCCGGAACTATGGGGTACCCAATGGGGATCGAACACACTATTCAGTCGTAACAGTTTTTGCGAGACAAGCTTGCTAACCATTACACCACGCCGAGGTGCCCTTCCTGATGTTAAGTATAAGCCTCCTCCTTGTTTGTAAGTTTCTCTAAGACCTCATCGTTGCTCACAGGTTCGGTCCATGATATCCTTAGCATCTTTCTGTAGAACCACATCTCTGTCGTCTCGAGTCTCTTCTTCATGTTTGAGGAAATCTTCCAACATTCGCTGCCGTAAAGAAGGACAGATGTCACGTGAGAGTTCAGTATTCTTTTCTTGGTTACCAAAGAAATCCTCCTGTCTCGCAATACACCGTCCAGTTTTCGGCAATCCCAATACCTCGATAGATCTCAGTGTCGCATTTACCGTCCTCTCTCAGAACGCTTCCAAGATATTTAAAATTCTGCGTCTGCTAGATTCTAGTGTTCCCGACCTGCAAATCGCAATTCAGGCTCATCTTTTTACTGATCACCCTGCATTTTGTCTTCTTGTATTTTATGCTTAGTCCCTTCTTCATACTCTCCGTCAAATAAACGTTTTTAACATTCAATTATATTTTCTGTTTGCATTATTAAATTATTTTACTTTATTTGAATATTTAGAAAATACGATGACAGATAACGGTGGAAACAAAATAAAAAAAAAAAATTTCAGGCAAAATATATCGGAAGATTATCTGCTATGCGAATTGGGTCAGCGTCTCTGCAATCGTATGGAGAATTGCTGCAACAGAATTTGCTGGATGCTATGCGTACGACTTGATTTTATATTTCCGCCATATTAATAATGGGTTTCATCCAGAAGTGTTATATGATTTTATTGTAGAAAGTTATTTACTGCAAATTGAATTCCAAAGGTCATTAACAGCTTTCAGATTTCTAGTATTTATTAAAATAGACCTGATATCACAAAGTTTTCCGAATGTTCTGTATAATATAACTGAAATAAATGACACGTTAGACTTAGTAAAGAGATATCGTTTAAATAGTGTACAGAACATTTTTACAGGACAAACAAGATTTACCTTGCATTTAGTACTACACATCTTTCACACATACATAAATACGAATAAATACGGCATGCTGATTATTATCTAATGTGCATACGGAATCTCGATATGGTGTAATGGTTAGGAAGCTTGTCTTGCTAGATCACTTAAGACTGAGTAGTGAGTTCGATCCTCACTGGGTGCCCCATACTTTCGGCCTTGTGCCACATCTTAGCTGGGCTTAGAAAATAAGGGCACCTCGCGCCGGTGTGATGGTTAGCAAGCTTGTCTCGCTAGAACAATTACGACTGAATAGTGAGTTCCGTCCTCGCTGAGTGCCTCATACATTCGGCCTTGTGCCGCATCTGAGCTACCCTAGCAAATCACTGGGCATCTCGAGGTTATGTAATGGTTAACAAGCTTGTCTCGCTAGAAGAATCACGACTGAGTAATGAGTTCGATCTTCCCTGGGGGCCCCATACTTTCGGCCTTGTGCCACATCTAAGTTACGTTTAGAAAATCACTCTTCTGTTTTGTCATAACACAAAAAGATATATTAGTAGATAATACCAAAATACGGCTTACAGCCATACCATGTTGAAACACAGGTTCCCGTATGTTCAACGAGGTGAAGCACAATCGAGCCTGCTCAGTAGCTGGGTGGCTTACCGCTTGGGAATACCAGGTGGTGTAGGCTTGGATATAGTGTGAGTAATGGATAATAATTCAGAATTGGTAATTGCAGAACCGAGTTTCAATTCCAGTCGGGTTCGTTATATTCATTTAAACGAAAATTCCCCTTGAAAAACATATGAATCCATCTCTTCCCCCAGGTATGGGTTAATTAGTAAAACATATATCACTAAATCATTATCATCTCAAAAAAAATCCTTCCAATCTAAAAATATTTTTCGGTCTTTAAATAACCTGAAAAGGTTTGATAAGGCATAAAAAACGAATCAGCGGCCAAGAAATAACATCCAAGTGTATGTGTGTGTGGGGGGGTATTGCTGGTTATATTCAGTGCCTTGAAAACCGAACTAGTTATATTCCATCATCGACGGTCTGATACCAAACTACCGTCAGGGACCATATCTTGAGCGACTGTTTGGTCTTAATCTCACGCCTGACCTTAAATGGAACATATGATCCATTGCTAAAGATTCAGGTAATTTGTTCGTATCCTTGTACCGTTCTAGTGAGTATCTGGCTCTTCGTGCTATCATCTACCTCTTTACAAGGGCCAAATCAGGCAGGAAATAGAGTACTGTTGTCATATTGGACGGGAGCTGTCCAGTCTACACATTCTAATCACGATACAGTTCAAAAGACTCCCCGAGTCCTTGTGGATGACAAATTATTTCCGACATCTTTTCCCCATGTGGCGAATCTCTTAGACTTAGTAAAAAGAGATCGTTTAAATAGTGTACAGAATATTTTTACAGGACAAACAAATTTTGCCTTGCATTTAGTACTACACATGTTTCACACATACATAAATACGAATCAATACGGCATACTGATTATTATCTAATGTGCATAGGGTATTTCGATGTGGTGTAATGGTTAGGAAGCTTATCTTGCTAGATCACTTACGACTGAGTAGTGAGTTCGACCCTCACTGGGTGCCCCATGTTTTCGGCCTTGTGCAACATCTAAGCTGCGCTTAGAAAATAAGGGCACCTCAAGCCGGTGTAATGGTTAGCAAGCTTGTCTCGCTAGAAGAATCACGACTGAGTATTGAGTTCGATCCTCCCTGAGTGCCCCATACTTTCGGCCTTGTACCACATCTAAGTTACGCTTAGAAAATCATTATCTTCTGTTTTATCATAACACGAAAAAGATAAATATTAGTAGATAATACCAAAATACGGCTTACGGCTATACCATGTTGAAACACAGGTTCCCGTACGATCACCGAAGTGAAGCACAATGGAGCCTGCTCAGTACCTGGGTGGGTGACCGCTTGGGCATACCAGGTGGTGTAGGCTTGGATATAGTGTGAGTAATGGATAATAACTCAGAATTGGTAAAGAGAGATCGTTTAAATAGTGTACAGAATATTTTTACAAGACAAACAAGATTTACCTTGGATTTAGTACTACACATCTTTCACACATACATAAATACGATTCAATACGGCACGCTGATTATTATCTAATGTGCATAGGTATCTCGATGTGGTGTAATGGTTAGGAAGCTTGTCTCGCTAGAACAATTACGACTGAGTAGTGAGTTCGATCCTCACTGGGTGCCCCATATTTTCGGCCTTGTGCAACATCTAAGATGCGCTTAGAAAATAAGGGCACCTCAAGCCGGTGTAATAGTTAGCAAGCTTGCCTCGCTAGAACAATAACGATCGCTACTTCCATGGAAAGTGATCGGGCGGACTATATTCCTTGGTTCCGTCAGGTCTACCTTTCACGGCTAGGACTCGCCATGCCAATAACATTGTAGCAAACCACGCAAATACCCTCCCCTATTCCATTAGTGAGTAGTAAGTTTCACTTGTAGGGCTTCTTCCCGCAAATCACCGCTCTGTGGTGCCGACTCCCAAGGGGATGTTTCCCTGATCACTACAATCTTAATCTGTTCAACTCTTATCTTCCTCTCCTATCCGTATAAACTACATCTTAACGTAACCCTCTACTACGAGTGGCCTCCGGGCCTTGCTTCAGTGTGAAACTTATTGTAAAAAATCAAACAAAAAAAAAAATACAAACAATCAATTAAAACTTACAGCACTCGCTAAAAGGAAATATCATATAAAATAGGTAGACAAATAGATATATAGATAGATATGAAGAGACTGAGATAGATAGATAGATAGATAGATAGATAGATAGATAGATAGATATGAATAGACTGGGATAGATAGATAGATAGATAGATAGATAGATAGATAGATAATGTCTGTTTTTTTATCAGGTACTAGCAAGGCTAAAATGTATCAAGTCTTGAATTATCTAACTGAAAGATACTCCATGTTTGTGTAGAACAATTATGTTTGATAGCAATCAATTAAGAACATCCAGCATTGTACAATATCTTCTAAATATCGGAGTAAATCGCGGTGACAAACAAAAACAAAATAACGATATTTGCATATTTGTTTATGTTAGTCGCTTTGATGTGTAACTTCTACATTAGTGAAGAACAAAACTTACTGGAACTTATCTCCATGTGCCCTTTGCCATTTAAATGTAGTGAACTTGTTCCTCTGTTGAAGCTACAACGTCTTAACAAACATCAAGTAGGATATTTTACTAGAATGTGAAACGCTGGGTATGTACAGTGTGTTCCTAAAGCCTGAACACATAGGAAATCTTATTAATTATATTATTATTTACCTCCACAATGAAATAGGGTTTTGTCGAAAGAAGCAATAATTTACTTCTTTTTCTGGGTCATACTAAAAGAGAAGGTGTACTCAATGAAACTCACAGATGCATAACACTTTCTTGAATGCATAAAGAGTGAATGTTCTAAAATCGACTGTAATTTGGAGTTGTTGCATCGGGTTAACGTGAATCTTGCAAAGCACATCAGCTTTTGCATCACAAATGATGGAAATTATATTGAAAATTTTATTTGTTAATATTACAATCGAATAAAAATGGATCCCTCCACTTTTTCGCTAAAAAACAGTATAGCATGACTAAAAATTATAAAAACAAATGTTTATTGTCAAAATATTTATGCTGTTATCAAGACGAGAGACCGAAGTATTTTTTAATTATTAAAAAAAAAAATCTTACTCCTTTCTAACACGTTCAAAACTTACACTAAAAATCTTGTTTTCTTTTTTGTTTTTTGTTTTTCATTAGCGGTGTTAACAGAGGTGACTTGAAATTTTAGCGCATTTTTCCGATAAAATAACGCAATGATTTAGAAATTCTTGCAAAAATCAAATAATTGTCAGAATTTAATGAAACTTTATTATTTTAAAAATCTTGATAGAATATTTTTTTAAATTCTGTTACCCCCCTCCAAACACACGCTTACTTAATTTCCTGAAATTTTTAGAAATTAAATTCCGTCCTCCAAATTTGTTTTGTTACTTAAACGCAGATCTCCTTGGAGAATGTAAAACATCCATTTTTTTTAAACAGTTCCTCCATTCTCGAAAATCTGCCCCAGATCGTAAAATGCAAACTGCAATAGAACTATAACATTAATTAGATAAGATTTTACTTGCTTTTATAAATAATATAGATTAAGGAAATTGTACTCTGAAAAAAATAATTTCTATGAATAATGAATTTTTACAAGAATTGCTTTCATCCTTTCTAATTATAATAATTTATGAAGTTTGAAAAATCATTTAAAATCATTCAGTTATTAAGTGAAGACTATATTTACTAAGAGAAAAATGAAAAACTTATCCAAATCATTACGCTCTAAGATTCTTAAAATCATTTAAAATTTTTTATATGTATAAACATGTTCTTTTTGAAGGTTTGGCCAACCATACACGACATTATCAGAAAATAACATCGATGACTATAAAAAATTCCTAAAATTAGATTATGGAGAATATTTCTAACATTTTTAAGATTGACGAATATTTAAAAATATATATATAATAAAGCCGTCAATTTTCTGAAACTATATTTTAACAGATAAAGTCTCCGTAGAACAACAATAAAACTGCCAAAACCTTTCAGAAGAATTTAAGTGATTTACGAGCGTTGACAAGCACGTAATAATCTTTACTGTTTTAAAAATCCATTTCTCTCTTATTTTCAACATAAAGTAAATAACATTTGTTTCAAATCAGATTAATTATAATTTAAATTAGTTTATATTCCCCAAATAAAGTTTCAGAAAAGTATATTTTATTATTGGGAGGTGTTTTAGTAGAGAGAATTACAAAGGGCGCTAATCAGCTATTTAAGCAAAAAATAAAATCGATTCCAAACAATATAATTTCTGTTTGAAGTACAATAAAGAGTATTGAGCTTACTTGAAATAGTAAATGCAATCACTTAGCTTTCATTTAAAGGCAAAATGAAAAATTCAAGAATTTTTTTTTTTAAACTTAGCTATCGAAAATTAGTGGGGTCCCATAAATAAACTGTTGAAAATTTCATTTCTTCAAAATATGCAATTTTGCCTATGGGGTCTGGACTTTAGAGACCCTCTGTACAATGACACATTCTTGATTATAATTGCTTCCAGAAATATAAATGACTGATTTGAAAAGTTAATGCTCAAAATGCGTCCAAAATTCGTTACGCGAAAATGTTTAATGCGACACTGGTTTTGATGAAAATTGCTGCAGTTTAAGTGGGAAGTTTTCAGATATTTTTTAGAGTTTTGCAATATTGTTTCATACACCGTCAAATGCGGTAATTATAATTGAGGTTCAATTATACGATCAATATTTAAATTCCAGTTTCATAATTCTCTTCCCCGTTCTAGGAGGACGTTGATAATCGAAAATATTAGTTCTAAAATAAGATTCGCGTCCTTCTCGAAAGACATTGAGGAACTAAGACATTAAAGTCTAATTTAAGGCATTTTCAGTTGTCTTTCTGTACAGAAACACATTGAGAAAGCGAGACATTAGCTGAAATGACGATTTCAAACATTCTCTTATGAAAAATGCGATTTGAAATCATCTTTTTTTGACGAAAGAATAAAATTAAAATGAAGAAGAAAGAAAAAAATCCATGAGGAGATTAGAAAGAAAGAAAGAAAGAAAGAAAGAAAGAAAGAAAGAAAGAAAGAGGAAAAAGAAAGAAATATTAGGAAATAAAGTAAGATCGGGAAATAAAGTAAAAGAAAGAAAGAAAGACCGAGAGAGATAGAGGAAAAAGAAAGAAAGATTAGGAAAGAAAGAAAGAAAGAAAGAAAGAGAAAAAGAAAGAAAGAAAGACAGAGAGAGATAGAGGAAAAAGAAAGAAAAATTAGGAAAGAAAGAAAGAAAGAAAAAAAGAAAGAGAAAAAGAAAGAAAGAAAGACAGAGAGAGATAGAGGAAAAAGAAAGAAAAATTAGGAAAGAAAGAAAGAAAAAAAGAAAGAGAAAAAGAAAGAAAGAAAGAAAGAAAGACAGAGAGAGATAGAGGAAAAAGAAAGAAAAATTAGGAAAGAAAGACCGAGAGAGATAGAGGAAAAAGAAAGAAAGATTAAGAAAGAAAGAAAGAAAGAAAGAAAGAAAGAAAGAAAGACCGAGAGAGATAGAGGAAAAAGAAAGAAAGAAAGAAAGAGAGAGAGAGAGAAAAAAGAAAGAAAGATTAGGAAATAAAGCAAGATCGGGAAATAAAGTAAAAGAAAGAAAGAAAGACCGAGAGAGATAGAGGAAAAAGAAAGAAAGATTAGGAAATAAATAAATAATGAATGAAAGAAAGAGGAAAAAGAAAGTTTAGGAAATAAAGCAAGAAAGAAAGCAAGAAAGAAAGAAACACCTAGAGAGATAGGAGAAAAAGAAAAAAGATTAGGAAAGAAAGAAAGAAAGAAAGAAAGAAAGAAAGAAAGAAAGAAAGAAAGGAAAAGATCGAGGAAAAAGTAATTTCAGAAAAAAAAAAGAACGAAAGAAAAATATATGGGAAGGAGAGAAAGATAAAAAAAATAGAACTGGAAAAATAACGAGAAAAGAAAGAAAGATTGGAAAGAAAAAAAGAAAGATCAGGCATGAACGAAATAAATGAATAAAGGAGAAAGAAAGAAAGAATGGAAGGAAGGAAGGAAGGAAGGAAGGAAGGAAGAAATAATAAAAGAAAGAAAGAAAGAAAGAAAGAAAGAAAGAAAGAAAGAAAATGCCTGGAAAAAAAAATCATAAGTAAATATAATTCGTATCTATTTTCATTTGGGACGTTCTTCTAAACTCAAGAAACCATTAAGATGTCATTTTCCTTAACACACTTGCCGATGACCGCATCTCTTTTGTCCGGGGGCTTAGCACGTGCCTGACTGATAAAAATATCTCTGGAGGAATCTAAAGGTATTGTTGCTAAACAATATAAGCGGGTGAAAAATCCACCACGCCCATCTATTCTGGGGTGGTATTTAGGGCGTCCGTGCGTATTGACCATTTTCTTTCTTTTCCCGATTATTTCTTTCTTGTCCGATCTACTTCCCGAATGAACTTGCCATCTATCTCCCGCAGTGGTTGGTGTTCCAACCTAGTTATATCCCATGATCTTGCATGATGATTTTCCAGGCAAACAGCCATACCCTTATTTACTCGCAATTTTCATTGGTTTCTTACCATATGCCATACTACGTAAGTATTCGTCGTTGTCTAAAGTGCCGTGGGGGACATAGCTCTGGGCAAAATGGTTCGAAATCTGAGAGGTCCAAGGTGCCGTGTCGTGTCCCAATTGTGTGTTTTTGAACCATCATAGTAAGCACAAGTAGTACATTATTTATAGTAAGCACAAGTAGTACATTATTTATAGTAAGCTCAATTAGTACATTATTCATAGTATTCATCAAGTAGTACATTGTTTATAGTAAGCCAAAGTAGTACCCATTTATTTATAGTAAGCTCAATAGTACATTATTCATAAGTAAGCATCAAGTAGTACATTGTTTATAGTAAGCTCATTTTTATAGTAAGCTCAAGTAGTACATTATTCATAGTAAGTCAAGTCATTGTTTATAGTAAGCTCAAGTAGTACATTATTTATAGTAAGCTGTAGTATTTATTATTCATAGTAAGCTCAAGTAGTACATTGTTTATAGTAAGCTCAAGTAGTACATTATTTATAGTAAGCTCAAGTAGTACATTATTCATAGTAAGCTTAGTATTATTATTTATAGTAAGCTCAAGTAGTACATTGTTTATAGTAAGCTCAAGTAGTACATTATTTATAGTAAGCTCAAGTAGTACATTATTCATAGTAAGCAGTTTATTTATAGTAAGCTCAAGTAGTACATTGTTTATAGTAAGCTCAAGTAGTACATTATTTATAGTAAGCTCAAGTAGTACATTATTCATAGTAAGCTCAAGTAGTACATTGTAGTACATTATTTATAGTAAGCTCAAGTAGTACATTATTTATAGTAAGCTCAAGTAGTACATTGTTTATAGTAAGCTCAAGTAGTACATTTTATAGTTTTAGTAAGCTCAAGTAGTATTATTCATAGTAAGCTAAGAAATATTGTTCATTATTCATAGTAAGCTCAAGTAGTACATTATTTATAGTAAGCTCAAGTAGTACATTATTTATAGTAAGCTAAGTAGTAATTATTATTTATAGTAAGTTCAAGTAGTACATTATTATTAAGCATAGTAATTATTCATAGTAAGCTCAAGTAGTACATTGTTTATAGTAAGCTCAAGTAGTACATTATTTATAGTAAGCTCAAGTAGTACATTATTCATAGTAAGCTCAAGTAGTACATTATTCATAGTAAGCTCAAGTAGTACATTGTTTATAGTAAGCTCAAGTAGTACATTGTTTATAGTAAGCTCAAGTAGTATATTATTCATAGTAAGCTCAAGTAGTACATTATTTATAGTAAGCTCAAGTAGTACATTATTTATAGTAAGCTCAAGTAGTACATTATTTATAAGTAAGTAAGTAGTACATTATTTATTCATAGTAAGCTCATTATTTATAGTAAGCTCAAGTAGTACATTATTTATAGTAAGCTCAAGTAGTACATTGTTTATAGTAAGCTTATTTTTAAGTAAGTCAAGTAGTACAGTAAGCTCAAGTATTCATAGTAAGCTCAAGTAGTACATTGTTTATAGTAAGCTCAAGTAGTACATTATTTATAGTAAGCTCAAGTAGTACATTATTTATAGTAAGCTACAAGTAGTCAAATTATTCATTGTTTTAGTAAGCTCAAGTAGTACATTATTTATAGTAAGCTCAAGTAGTACATTATTTATAGTAAGCTCAAGTAGTATTCATTATTCATAGTAAGCTCAAGTAGTACATTATTTATAGTAAGCTCAAGTAGTACATTATTTATAGTAGCTCAAGTATTCATAGTAAGCTCAAGTAGTACATTATTTATAGTAAGCTCAAGTAGTACATTATTCATAGTAAGCTCAAGTAGTACATTATTCATAGTAAGCTCAAGTAGTACATTGTTTATAGTAAGCTCAAGTAGTACATTATTTATAGTAAGCTCAAGTAGTACATTATTCATAGTAAGCTCAAGTAGTACATTATTTATAGTAAGCTCAATTAGTACATTATTTATAGTGTTTCAAGTAGTACATTATTTATAGTAAGCTCAAGTAGTACATTGTTTATAGTAAGCTCAAGTAGTACATTATTTATAGTAAGCTCAAGTAGTACATTATTTATAGTAAGCTCAAGTAGTATATTATTTATAGTAAGCTCAAGTAGTACATTATTTATAGTAAGCTCAAGTAGTACATTATTTATAGTAAGCTCAAGTAGTATATTATTCATAGTAAGCTCAAGTAGTACATTATTTATAGTAAGCGTCTTGTTAGTACATTATTTATAGTAAGCTCAAGTAGTACATTATTTATAGTAAGCTCAAGTAGTACATTATTCATAGTAAGCTCAAGTAGTACATTATTCATAGTAAGCTCAATTAGTACATTATTTATAGTAAGCTCAAGTAGTACATTATTTATAGTAAGTAGTACATTATTCATAGTAAGCTCAAGTAGTACATTATTTATAGTAAGCTCAATTAGTACATTATTTATAGTAAGCTCAACTAGTACATTATTTATAGTAAGCTCAATTAGTACATTATTTATAGTAAGCTCAAGTAGTACATTATTTATAGTAAGCTCAAGTTTATTCATAGTAAGCTCAAGTAAGCCTCAATAGTACATTATTCATAGTAAGCTCAAGTAGTACATTGTTTATAGTAAGCTCAAGTAGTACATTATTTATAGTAAGCTCAAGTAGTACATTATTCATAGTAAGCTCAAGTAGTAATTATTCATAGTAAGCTCAAGTAGTACATTGTTTATAGTGCTCAAGTGTAATTATTCAAGTAGTAAGCCTAGCTCAAGTGTTATTATTCATAGTAAGCTCAAGTAGTACATTATTCATAGTAAGCATCAAGTAGTACATTATTTAGTAAGCTCAAGTAGTATTATTTATTATCAAGTCATTAGTAAGCTCAAGTAGTAGTACATTATTTATAGTAAGCTCAAGTAGTACATTATTTATAGGAAGCTCAACTAGTACATTGTTTATAGTAAGCTCAATTAGTACATTATTTATAGTAAGCTCAAGTAGTACATTATTTATAGTAAGCTCAAGTAGTACATTATTCATAGTAAGCTCAAGTAGTACATTATTTATAGTAAGCTCAAGTAGTACATTGTTTATAGTAAGCTCAAGTAGTATATTATTTAGAGGAAGTTTGATTGGGTTTTGAAGTTATCTTCTAGTCTTTGCCTAAAGACACATGACATACAAGGCAACAGGCTGGTTTGAATTGAAAGTTTTTTTTTCTCCAGTCTGTCCTGCTATTTTACCCATACGTAGTGGATTCATACCTTTCCCAAGGTATCTGAATGTAATAAATTCGACTGCAATTCGAACTGGGCTCTACAATTCCTCAACCTGAGCCGTTAACAATTACTCCAACGTGCTTCCATAAGTGAATTGAAACCATAGCAAGTTCAGCTTTTAATGGGCGCCATTTTGTAGGGTACTCTCAAGTTTGTAATAACCTTACCTCTCGCTTATTTCTTATTCATTTTTATAATCACTTCACTCCATGCAAGGCGATAAAGCGACTAAAATATAAGGGGTTATTGAAAATGAAAGACAAAGTGAAGGAAATTCGAATAAAATTACTGAGGAGAAAGGACAATAAAAAGAACCGGTTTCAAGGAAATTTCTGATATTGTTCATGGGTCTAAAAGTCTCGTTCATCGTGTAATTAGCAAGTATAAAACCGATAAAACGTTAGATGCAAAACCAAAAACCGGCAGACCTCCAAAAACATCGCAAAGAGAAGATCGAAGAAGTGTTAGAATATCTACAAAAAACTTTTTGAAACTGCTACATCAATTGCACGTATATTTAATGAAGGGACATATAATAAGATCTCACGGAAATCGGTTGCTCGCAGGTTAAAAAATGCAGGTTTGCATGCCCGTATTCCAGCTTCGAAGCGTCTCATTTCAAAGCGAAATGGAGTATACGAGAGAACATGTTGTTTGGACTGACGCACAATGGGATACAGTTTATTTCAGTGACGAGTCCAAGTTTACTATATTTGGTTCTGAGGGCAAAACTTACGTACGCCGCAGAACAGGTGAAAGACTGTCTTCTCAATGTGTCAAGAAAACCGTTAAGTTTGGTGTCGGCAGTGTGATGGTGTGGGGAATGATTTCATCTGCAGGAGTTGGCCCTATCATCCGTGTACATGGCAATATCAATGCTTAGATTTACAAAAGGCCTCTTCAGCAGCACATGGTACCAAGATTACACCATAATCTTTATGAATCTCCTATTTTCATGCAGGACAATGCATCTTGCCACAAAGCTCAGAAGGTTATGGCTTTATTTGAAGAAGAAGGAATTGCCCTAATGAAGTGGCCAGCCTAGAGCCCCGACCTGAATCCAATAGAAAATGTTTGGAAGATAATTGGAGAAAGGGCTCAGAAAAGAAACCCGAAAAAACAGGATCACCTATGGGAGTTATTGAAAGATGAATGGGAGGGAATTACTGCTGATTTTTGCAAGAAATTAATTAGATCATGTGGTCGACGATGCAGAGAAGTCATTGAAAATAAGGGGATGTTTACCAAATATTAAATTTTGTTGATATTTTGTTCCCATTCAAGTATTAACAAGATCGTT